AGACAGTATAACATACAAAATTGTGTTTAGTTTAGACATTATGAAATCGGTGACAAAGTATAGTTTACACATTATGAAATCGGTGACTAAGTATAGTTTACACATTATGAAATCGGTGACAAAGTTTAGTTTAGACAGTATAACATACAAAATTTGGCTTAGATTAGACATTATAAAATTGGTCACAAAGTTTAGTTTAGACAGTATAGCATACAAAATTTGGTTTAGATTAGACATTATAAAATCTTTGATAAAGTTTTGTTTAGACAGTATGACATACAAAATTTGGTTTAGATTAGACATTATGAATGTTCTACACACATTGTTGGTATAACGTTTACATGAGATTTCTTCTATGTCATTAGTTCATCCATATTTACTACTTTCAGTGAGAGAAATGATAATTTTGATAAAGACACGAGAAAAAAGTGCCCCTGTATCTATGTTTCTTTGGCATTATTACAGCGTACCGAGAAGTAAACTTACATTACTGTAACTACCACGTGTGACATGTTTTAATTAATATTTCCTTTATTGTTTGTTTGTTTGTAGTTAAGCACAAAGCTACATAAAGGGCTATCTGTGCTTTGGCCGCCACTACGGGTATCGAAACCCGGTTTATAGCGTTGTAAGTCTACAGACATTCCGCTGTGCCACTGGGGGCAATATTTCATTTAACGAAAGGAAGTATTTTTAAGAATTTGTAATCATTTCACTAAACTAGTTAAGATTTATACTGTAATAACGTGAAAACCACATTTATATTTCATAAATATCGTATACTGTAATAACGTGAAAACCACATTTATATCTCATAAATATCATATGCTGTAATAACGTGAAAACCACATTTATATCTCATAAATATCATATGCTGTAATAACGTGAAAACCACATTTATATTTCATAAATATCGTATACTGTAATAACGTGAAAACAACATTTATATTTCATAAATATCATATGCTGTAATAACGTGAAAACCACATTTATATTTCATAAATATCGTATACTGTAGTAACGTGAAAACCACATTTATATCTCATAAATATCATATGCTGTAATAACGTGAAAACCACATTTATATCTCATAAATATCATATACTGTAATAACGTGAAAACCACATTTATATCTCATAAATATCATATACTGTAATAAC